CCTACTGGGGTTGAATAAGATCAGGATTCTTAACCTGGACTCTGTGAACTTGGTTTTTTGATAACTGCATTTTAATATAATTAGTTTCCTTTGTAATTCTCTGCATTTATTTTATACATTTACAAACACTCTAAGAAAAGGTCCAGAGGTTTTCTCAGATTATCAAAAGGGTCCATGACACACAAAAAAGTTAAAAGCCCCTGGACTAGATGATCTCTAAGATTCCCTTCCAGATTTATGATGCTATGATCCTGTTCTAGAACACTTTAAAGTCATATCTTGATTTAAATATGTTCCTAAAGCTTGGTGTGTAAAACAAGAATCTAGCAAACTGAATTGTTTTAAATTTATTACTGAATCTGGTTGTCAAATGAAACTTGTGAATTCTTTGGTTAAAATGAGAGATCTTGGATAAGGCAAATAAATAATTATTTGATAATTTCAAGGTTTTTCAATTAATTCAAGAAATATTTATTAAGGAGCTATCATATTCAGAACACTGTGGTAGGTGCTACAAAAGGCAAGACAGGACCTTACCCCAACAAATTAAAGGGATAATACCCATATACAAATAACTTGACACAAAATAATTCATGATAAAGTCCTTCCCTGCTCCTCCAGTCAGTAATCACCATTGCCCCTTGAACCTTACCTAGAACATACTTTATTTCTATTTATTAAATGTACCTGACTTGGGTTTTAAAGGATAGAGAGAAATTAAACAGGTGGAAAAGATGAAGGAAGAAACAGAAGGAGCAAAGACAAGGAGAAGAGAAAGCATATGAGCTTTGAGGAGAAAGGAAATCATCCAGTTTACCAGTGGAGAGTGTATATGGGGAACAGTATGAGATAAATCTGGAAAAGTAAAGCAGCCCCAGACTGTGAATGGCCTGGAATGCCAAGCAAAAGAGTTTTAATCAGACTCCCTGGGCACCAAGAAGCCTCTGAAGATTTCTGAGCTAATCAGATCTATGTGTAAAGAAGATTAAGTCACTCAATCAACAAGCGTGTATTAAACACCTACTACATGCCAGGCAGCTTTAAGTAAATTTTTTTTGATGAGGATGGAGAGGGGTCAGACTGAAGGGAGACTGATTAGGAGGCTAATGAACTGAGGTGATTGTTCCATGAGCAGAGAAAAGGAAATACGGACACTAGAAAAGTTGTAGAGCTGGCATCAATAAGACTTGGCAACTGATAGGATATGTGGAATGAGTGCGGAATGAGTAACCCAGGATGGCTACAAGTTTGTGAACCTAGGTCACTGGAAGGATAGTGGTGGCTCAATAGAAACAGGGAACAAAAGAAGAAGAGTGGGTTTGGATGAGGGAAAGATAAATAGTTCTGTTTTGTACCTGTCGTATTTGAAATGCCTATAGGCCGTATAGCTCAAAATGCTCAACAGGCAGTTGGTGATACAAAACTGGAGAACCAGAAAAACACAAGGACTAGATATATTGATCTAAGGGTCAACTGAGCCTATTCCTTGATATTTGGGAAGGAATTGGTGTATGAGGATGTATGAAAGAAAGGGACGAATGCTGAAGCAAAGTGGATCAAGGGCATAAGACACGTGTATGTCTTGAGGGAAGAAGGGAAAAGAAAGGGAGAAAAAAGGGGAGAGAGAGGAGGGATGGAAGGAGAGAGGGAGAGGAGGGAAGGGGAGAGGGAGATATAGATAGATATAGATAGATAGAGAGAGAGAGAGATAGAGAGAGAGAGAGAGAGAGAGAGAGAGAGAGAGAGAGAGAGAGAGAGAGACACGGCGGGGGGGGGAGTTTAAGTGTTTATGTGCTGAGGACACAAATATGTACAAGGAAATAGTTTCTTTCCACAAGCAGCTACATTCTAATGGAAGAAGACAACAAAAAGGGAAGCTGAAAGGAGGGCAGGGGAAACAGCAAGCTGATTTATGGCAAGGTCGCTGGTCAGGAGGTAAAGAAGTCAGTAGAGTATTTGAGCTGGGAGAAAGGAGAAAGTTAAGGATGCTCCTCATAAGATGGTTTCAATTTTTTCCATAAGTAGGTATTCTTAACTTGAAGTACACATGGACTATGTCAGGGGGGGTAGAAAGTGAAATGTCAGATAAATAGAAGCTATAGCTCCCATTGAGGAGAAACTTGGTGAGAGTGTTGCCACCTGAAAAGACAATCACTTTCCAAGGAGGAGGATGCCATGTGGGGGCAGTGCTATGAGTGGTGGCTCTGGGGTAAGAGGACTTAGGTCCAGCAAGTAATTTTGCCTCCCTCCTGCTTCAGTTTCCTCATCTGTAAAATGAGGAGGTTGGCACAGCTGACCTCTGTGGCACATTTCTAGGATCTGTGAGCCTAAAAGGAATAGTAGCACCTCACCACCCCACCAAAGGAAACATCAAGGTGTGCACTTTCAGCCCAGCAGACAGTACTGGGCAAAGGTCCTTTCACACCATGGGAATGCCAGGCACCCTCATCAAGTGCCTTCCCAAAGCTGGCAGAGCAAAGGTAAGTACCTTTGAAATATTCTACATATCAATGATTATCAAGAGTTCTTAACTCTAATAGATGTATTACTAAGAAATTTAGTTTTGGGTATCTTTACCCAAGCAGATTTAGAATCCTTCGAAACACAACTAGAGAAGTAACTCCCCAACCTGTAAGCCAAAAACGTCTCTGAAGTTTTTGTGTGGAGCCTATTAATTCATAAATAAACATGCAGTAGACAGAACACATCTCACAATACAGGTAGCACTATTTTTCAAATGTACATACTTAATAAGATACAAATTCATTTAAACGTGTTACTGAGTTCATAGTTTATTTGTATATTTTCTACAACTCCTGTCATGAAAAGGGGTGTGTGTGTGTGTTGGAAATCCATGAAATATTCTGACATTAAAAAGAAGTCCTAATGGTGAAAAGATTGGGAAATGCTACACTAGTTAAAGAGACATCATTAAAAATGATGGGGTTTTTTTGTGAATTAAAATACTCAAACTTTATAATTCATTATGCCTACTACAAGCTATGGTTTAAACAACAACAACTACAACAAAGGCCCAAATTCTTTTTAGGCCACAATTCTAAGAACTGTTTTATTATTAGAAAATAGAAAATAATGTTTAAGTCCATGGTTTTATTCTACTCCTATGGAAGTCATATCACAAATTGCTTCATTGGAGAGGCAGCCTACCTTAGTGGCTAGGACCCTGGACCTGGAGTCAGATGGACCTGAATTCAAATCCTGACTTACTAGTACTAGTTACTTGCTAACTGTATGATCCTGGTCAAGTCACTTAACCTTTCTGAGCCTTAGTTTCTTCATCTGTAAAATGGGGACAATAATAGTGTCTATCTCCCAGGGTTGTTATAGGGATCAACTGAAATAGTATGTAAAGGAAATCAAATGAGGTAACAGGTAAAGCTCTTTGCAAAAAGTAAAATGCTATATAAATGCTACCTGTTATTAAATTTTAATAATTTTACATTCCAATATAGCCTCAGGAGCAACAAAAATGTTGACATAAAAATGTTGAAAGCCTTCACTATAAGATGTCTGATGTCTGTTTCCCACTGTACCTTCTTAAAAAATCACTGTAATTTACTTTTTAAAAATTTTGCATTTAACATATGCAGTTTCCATATGCAGATTAAAATGTTACATATGAAGAATATTCCACTACCTAACGTTCATGAAGAAATTTAAAATAAGTCATTTGTTCCCTAAAAGAGAAAATAAGGAGCCAGAATAATCTATTACACTGAATATTGAGTTTTTAAATCTTTTTCAACTGAAAATTTCAAGTTATTTTTTATATTATAAACATATTTATCCTAAAAGGAAAAGGCAACATCAAAACATCCCAAGGCATAAAAGTCACTCTAATGTGTGTTGTTAACCAGCAGTCTTTCTCAAAGCAGGCCCTTTTTAAAAAATGGAAAACAAGGAAGCAAACTCTATGCTTATCAAGAAGCTTCAGACAATGTTACTATATATATGGAAACATCGTCAAATTTTCCTTGTTATATTAGCAATTTGTTTGCTATTCTTAAAGGAGACAATATTTTAAATATGGTTAGATACTGAAGGTGAGTAACGATGATTACATAAGATAGTTTTATATTTTGCCTTCCAAGCAATCAATAAGACGCTGAAAGATTTCCACAAACTGGAGGAATAAAATGTCTAAAAAGGAGGGGTGACTACTATAACCTATAAACTACAGTAACACTTCAAGTCTCACAAGTCCCATACTCTTAAACTTGTCCCAATGACAGGAAAGTGAAGAGATGTCAAAAAATGTCTGGTCAACAGTTAAGGAACCCTTAAAAATACAGGAAAATGTAGGTGACTAGTTTACCAGCTTCAGAGAATTAACGTCTGTCCAATAATTGTCTGTCCAAAAAGACCAGCAATTAACAGCATTACAATACTTAAAGAGTATCACAGATCTGCTCATCATCATTTAATCTAACCATTCAGTAACATATGAAAATAATAAGAGTAATCTGGAGCCAACAACAACACCCCCCCAAAAAATGTTCCACATTAAAAAATTAATAGTCGTGAATAGGCTGTAATAAAAATGCCAAGCATTAAACATAAATGTGCTTCTTTGAAAACTGAAAGCTCTATTCCCAAAGATCTCATAATAGCACACACAGGTCAGTGGTGATTAAAACATTATTTTTAATTCTCGCATTACCTCACAGCTAAAAATGTCATGATACCACACCCACTAGGCTTTTTTCCTAGTTGGAGAAAAAAAAACAGGAGAAATTTCTAAATAACACAAATATGTTAAGTTATTAAATTCCAGTTGACTAAATGGAAAAACGTATGCAATTATGACAGTTTTTCTCCCCGAAATAGTTATTAGATCCGTATCGGCGCCTTAACTGGGACAGCAGACATTCTGCTTTTTCCTCGATCACACGCTCAGTTAAATGCCAGCCCTGCCCCCTTTCTCCCCCACCCCAGAGCTGAAATAGACGGCTAGTCAATAGCACCCAGCGGCTACTCACCAGCCGCAGTGCTGATCAGCAACACGGTCCAGGAGAGCAGCAGCGCCGGCCCGAGGCTTTGCAGAGAGGTAGTCATACCTGAGCGAGCCAAGGAGCCAGAGGGTCGAGAAAATAGGAGAGAAAGGGAGAAACACCGGCAGGAGGAATTTCCCCCCTCCTTTTTCCGTTTTGAGTTATCTTGATGTTCCTGCTCGGAATTCTCACAGCGCAGTTTGAAAGGACAAATGGCAGATGCTTAAAGAATCCGTCTGCAGAGCTCGAACTCCACTGCAGAAAATTCCCTTCATTTCTCTCCTCCTCGGACGTGGCTCACGCGAGGGGGCCGGCGTGGCTCTGCCCTCCAAACAGGCTGCATTCTCCGGACAGAGATGTGGAGAGGGGCGGGGGGCCGGGGGCGGCAGGGGGAGTCTGTGAAATCACCACGATTTTCCACGTAGTTTCACAATATCGAAAAAAGAGCCCGGTTTGGAAGGAAACATAGCCAGGGAGCAGGTGCGAGTGGAGGGTATTCCGAGGAGGACGGAGAGGAGATGGGGAACCCCCTGAAACCTTGCCCCCTACAACTTCCCTGCCTGGGGAAGGGGCGATGCCGGCGGGGGAGGTGGCGTCAAGCCCGGGGCTCCAGGCCGCATCGCGCGCGGCTCCTGCTGCTGGTGCGTGGTGGGGGGGCTAGGGAAGAGGCCGGGCTCGATGGGTGGGGGGCACGTCCCTCCTAAGTAAGTTTCGCTTCAAATCACTTCAATTTCAAGGCGGACGCGTTGCGCAAAGGTGCCTCCCCCCATGATCCGCCCGGCCGCCGAACTGAAACCAGCAAGCCCCCGGCGCGTCCGAATTCCATGGGCCGAGGGCGGAGGGCAGGCCGGACGGGGTCCCCCAGGGAAGGCCAGCAGTCCCCGCGGCCTCTGCTTCTCCTTGGCCCGCCTCCTTTTACGCTCGAAGTCCTGGGGCCCCGGCTCCGCGAGACGCTCCGAGGTCCATTCCCCCGCCGTCCAGGTCTCGTCGTCGCCTCCTCCTCCTCCTCCTCCCGTCAATGGTTCCTCAGCCTCCCCGCGAGGAAGCCGGGGCTGCCGCCGCCGTCGCCGCCGCCGGGTCGCGCCCCGCTCCCTCCTCGCTGGGCTCTCCCGCCGCTGCGGCTGGGGCTGCGGCTCCTCGACGCTCGCTCCCCGCGGGGCTCGTGGGGGAAGGGGGCGTCGGCGAGAGGATGGAGGGGCCCGGGGAGGGGGAGGGGGCACCTAGACACGCCGCACCCCAACTGAGGCGGGGTGGGAGGCGGGGGAGAGCAGCTCGCGAGCCTCCGCGACCAGAGCAGACCAGACACAAAGGGGGGAGACGCTGCAGCTGCCAGTCTGCGGCGCTCCGGTCACCGGGCGTCGCCCCGCCCCCCCTCCTCCTCCTTCTCCTCCTCCTCAGTCTCTGTCTCTTCTCGGCCCCGTCTGTCTCCAGCCTGCGGTTGAGCCCGGGTGGTGGTGGCGGCGGCGGCGGCTACGGAGAAGCCCCACTGCGGCTGCGCGGCCTCGCGAGCCCCACCTAGCCCCGCCCCTCCCTTCAGCTCTGAGCAGGGAGTCAGTAAACCCTCGCCTTTCCGGTGGGTTTCACTAGCCTAGAGCCGGGAACTTGGGCGGGGAATGGGGACCGAGATCAAAACTGGCAGCACACACGCACACATACACACCCTTTATCCACATGAGCTTGTTGCATGTTTAGTTTGGGGGGGTGTATCGGGAGGGGAAAGAAAGGGGAAAGCATGATTAACATTTTCTCGTAAAGAGCTCCATGAACTTCTGGGAGCAGTGATTTCAATCCCCCCCACCTCCTACCCCTACCACCAAAGTCTCCGCCTCTCTCCTCGACGATTGGTTCATAGAAGTCTACTCTAGGCGGGTCCTCTTAGTTTATTGGTTCTCGGGGAGAAAAGTTGCCTACCTGGGAGTTGTAGTCCCAGGTACAAAAAAAAAGAGAGAGTCAGAAACAGAGACTGAGATAGACAGAGAATGAATTACCGCAAAGCACGAGCTGAACTCGATTCTCCATGGAAACCCGAGCGCTTGGTCTTCCTGCGTGTATCCTTTCCTGATTCAAACACAAAAGGGAGCGAACTTAGCGGAACAAAAGCAAATGTGTATTTGTCCCGCCTTATTGTCCCCCAACTCCCAAAATACTCTCCCCCAAGTATTCTTTCCATCTTCCAAACGCTTCCAAAGCGCCCTCCTCACAACCAACCCCATGAGATGCTGAATAAAGCTTTGTACTGCATTTAAGGGTCTGGCTCAAGTTATTCCCAAACCACAAAGCTAGAAGTCATTTTACCTCCCTTCTTGCTTGAGAGAGCCTTTGTCACCAAGGCATTAAGTATCAGAGGTGGTATTTGAACCTGAGTCTTCTCACTCCAGAGATCATCTCCCGCTCTTCATTTTCCAAAAGCAGCTTTCCCAACTTCTTTGTCAAAAAGACAAGAGTTCAAAATACGACCTTAAAGACTTCACTTAACTTCTGACTGTTTACTCATCTGCGAAATGGGGGGGGAGGGGAAGCTGGTTTGGTGGTAATAATATTACCTCCCTCCTAACATGGTTGTGAGGACCACAAGAGATATTTGTAAAGCGCTTGGCAAACTTTAAAGTGCTGGCTATTTTTACTAGAGCTGCTTTACAATCCACTGGAGGGAGATGGAGGGAGAAGGACTTAAAAAATAGACAATGAAGAGGTTGCTTTTTTTATGCATTTATTCTTTTTTAAAATAATGCCTTTTGCATACGCCGCCTCAAGTCTGGAGAACAGCAAAAGTCCCATTTGGATGGTCCCATTTTTTTTCCATTTGCTTGTTCCCAAACAGCAAGGATTAAGGGAGGATGTTTCTTCCCTCCTCCTACCAGGAGCCCAAACACCCCGCTGCGGCAGACGCGGACGCGGGTGGGGGTGGGGGTCTGTTTCAGGGAAGAGGAGGGGCTCGGAGCCCGGTGACGCGCGCGCTCAGCCTCGCCATGTTCGGAAGAAGTCTGAAGCTGGCACTTCGCCTGCGGGAGAAAAGCCTGCGTAGGAGGGCAAGGGAGGAGGCGTTCCCTCTGTCTAGCCTTCTCTTCTCCCCTGAAGCATTGGAGTTATTCCCGAGGCAGGTTTTGCAGGTCCTTGCTTTGAGCCTCGAGGAGTTTCAAAAATATACTGTACGTAGGCACTATTTAATGACCCACCACCCCTCCGCTTTTAATCCATAGCTTTCCCTTATCTGAACATTTTTTATGTAAATATTATTTTATTCAAATTATTGCAGTTCCTGGTAAAATTGGCATCATATTAAATTACTGCAGTGATGGAAGGTAAAAGAAATGCCAGCTCTGCCTGGATTCCCAGACATTTTTGTAGTGTGGTGTTTGCTTTACTAGAAGTCTTCCTTTATAGAACCAAATGCCCTTTATCCAAACATTAGTATCGTAATTGCTGTTATTACTTGTGTATAAAAGGAGGTATATGTGAAGTAGTATTAGCCCCATGAGATGGGAAGTTTAAGAGGGACCTTCCACCCAAGTCACTGGAATAGGAATGAAAGGAAAAGCTATGGATGGCACATGGACTACTTTAGAGGCTTAACATTATCAAACAGCTCTGTTTGTCAGGGTCAATACTCATTTTTCAGTGAAGTTCTGCCAGTTCCAAATGAAGCTCAAGGTTGAAGTAGTCAAAAGGGGATTCAGTGGCTCAGGGAAAACTGCCAAGTAATTTTCTGCATAAGAAACATTTGACCTACACAGAAGTCTAAAATATTTGTACAGATCTGATGGGAATGTACTCTAGTTTATAGATGAGGATGGAATTTAGTCCTGCAAAAAAAAAAAAAAACAAAGCAAACCCATTTTCTTATTTACTTGAAAAAATGCGAATGTACAACTAAAAAAATGGTGACAGTTCTGCAGTTTATTAACTGGCATTGTACTTTTTTTGTGCCAAAAATTGGCTATTTAAAATGAAAAATTAAAACAGACTACCCATAAATTATATGTTGCAATCGACATTCAACTTTTGTTTATTTGTATGGCATTTTCCCTAAGAAAATTATACCCATGTGTGGTATCTAAAGTACTAGAAGGGGATAGGCTCTAGACAACCTTCTACACAAGGAAAAATATACACATAGTGGAAGGAGCTTCTGAATTGAATTAAGAGACTTGGACTCAAGCCCTGGTTCCCCTGTTAACTAGCCTTATGATTGTGGACAAATCACTTAATCTGTCTTAGACTTAGCTTCCCAATATGTAGAAGGAAGAGATACTGGCACCATCTAACTCACAGAAGTTGTGAGAAAAAAATGCTTTCTAAATTGTAGTGTTACATAAAAGTAACTTAATCAGCAAGCCTTTATTAGGTATCTCCTACATGTTTTCCACTGTGTAGGGGGTGGGGGTAGTACAAAGGCAAAAATGAAACAGACCCTGGACACAAATATAGTATGCAACCACTAGCTGAGCAGTCATAATTATTAGGCAATTCAGTGTATGATCACTTGTTGCTGGTAACTAAAAATGTGCATGGGACCATGTTGAAGATAGTTTATTATATCAATTATGTTGAACACAGTCTAAGACTAGCCTTACCATAGGATAACAAAGAAGAGGTCCACATGAAAAGAACTGTGACTGGAATCTATGGACCTTGTGTCAGGGGGTGCTGCGACAGGGACTCAGCAGAGCAGCAGGTTCCCCCACCACTTATTCCTCACACCTTTTCACTCTAATACCATGACATCCTGAAACCTAAAGACAATGTCTTGCTTTGGACTATTCCCATACAACCAATAGTGTGCTGGTAAATGTTTAACAGCTGGCTCTGGGGGGAGGGGGGAATGCATGGGGCATACTTTTACATTTAATCTGCATTATTAACATTTTATCCATCATTTTCTTAAGTCTAGACAATCAACAAAACAATAAATGAAGCCAACATTTGTAACTTTTGCTGATTTCTGAGGTGCAAATGCTTACACTGAAAATTTAACCCTATGCTTTCCTTGTGTCCAACACACCACTGCAAACAGCTCTTTGCAAATTGTCATTTATTGGTTTATCTGTCTTTTTTCTAGGCTGT